TTTGTGACTTGGTTTGTGACCAAATAAATTTGAGAATCACTGTTATAGATGCCAGGAGCCAATATCAAATTCTTTTCATCACTTTTCTTCCTGGCATCTAGTTTTTCCAAAATTGTTAGCTTATTTTAAGCATTATTTATTTATTATTATAAACATTAATTGATGTGTCTTGGTTCTTTTGTTCATTTTATTGTTAAACTAATTAATTTTATGTTTACATTATCACAATTATCATAATAACAATAAAAATGTAGATATCAGAAAAACTACAAAGAATTTTCTGTAATTGACTTCATGTAGCAATGAGCCTAAAATGAATCAAACTTAGACAAATAGAGATTATGTAGCTATGGTAAAGAAGTTTATGCATTACAATAAAATAATAATACTGTACTGGATTATTGATTTCACTAAATTGACTTACTATTACAGACTATATTATATTGGAATTGATTTACATAAAAAAAACTTTCGAAACTTAGGTAAATGTAACTCATTATATTGTTAAGTTCAGTTTTAAAGGTTATTAATTTCCACAAGTGTAAATTAGATTAATATTTTATAAAATTTGATTTGAACATTTCAAAAAAATTATTGTAACATCTGAAATAAACCTTTATACCAGGGATGGCCAACAAGAGGCCCGCGGGCCGCATGCGGCCCGCCTGGAGTCATGTTGCAGCCTGCGGAGCTAGGTCAAATGAACGTAAATGTTAACTTTATTGTACATATCACCAAAAGAACATTACGTCATGAGTTATTCGTATCATGTATTTTTAATTATTTCAAATTTCTCTTAGATATAATTTAATTATCTCTCATTTTTGGAAAAATTCATAGATTTTTAGCTATTTCAAATATTCCGCTATTTGACACTCGAGGTTACTTAGTTTTTTGTCCGACGCTAGGTGTTGATAAAATTTAATATGAGACTTCAACTTCAGCTATATATGTTCTGTGGTCTTCGGCGTTTTCGGGAAGCTCACAATGCTATCGGGCTCTTACTCATAACTACTTTCAGTCCAGTTTGACAAAGTTCCATGTTATTCTGTAGTTTCGTTTTATTATCGCCAATGCATCTGGAGAGATTTTGCAATTGATGTTAAAATACATACACTCTGTCACAAAAAAATGTGTGCACCCAGAAGAAATCGAGCCACAATCACAAAAGTCAGTACGAATGTAGTCTGGTAAGAGATATGCAAATGATTAAAATTTCGACGCCAATGAGACAAGGCTAACGGCGGTACGAGCATATGAGATGTGCAGCTGGGAGAGTTTAAAAGCACGAGTGCTTGCGCCATAGGGCTATTTAAACGAATCTGTCGACTTGGATGGATGGTATTGTGAATAGAGATGCCTCTGAGACGTAACAGGCGGCAGTACGAACAGTTGACGGAGTTTGAAAGGGGCCGTATAGTAGGCCTCAGAGAAGCTGGTTGGTCGAACAGGTGTATCGGCCGCCACCTCTGTCGGAGCGATATGGTAGTTGCTCGGTGTTGGCAACAGTGGATGACGGAAAGGAGAGTCTACCGTCGCGGAGGGTCAGGACGTCCCAGAAACACAAATGAGTGCGAGGATCGCGCAATCAGAAGAGTGGCAACGTCCGCACCAACAACGTCGCTATCATCGATTCAACGCCATTTACCACCTTCCAGGCATACGATGGCATCAAGGGAAACCATTAGGAGACGACTGGCCGATGCTGGTATAAGGAGCCGACGTCCATTAAGACGCTTACCACTGACCCCACATCATAGGCAGTGTCGATTGGATTTTTGCCGATCTCGGGCAAGTTGGAGTGTGACTGACTGGAGGCGTGTGGTCTTCAGCGATGAATCCCGATTCAGTCTCAGTGCTGATGACCACCGAACACGCATGTGGAGGCAGGCTGGCCAGTGGTCCGATCTGGCATTTGTTGTCGAGCGGCATACAGCGATTACACAAGGTGTGACAGTGTGGGGAGCGATTTGTTATGACACACGATCACCTCTAGTTGTCCTTCAAGGCAACATGACGGCTCGCAGTTATGTGGACAGCATTTTAACGCCGGTTGTACTGCCTCTTCTATCAAGTCGCCCAGGTGCCATTTATCAGCAGGACAACGCTCGTCCACATACTGCGAGACTCTCCCAACAATGTCTTCAAGGATATGATGTACTTCCATGGCCTGCCAGATCACCAGACCTCTCGCCAATAGAGCATGTCTGGGACATGTTGGGAAGGCAAATGCAGCCGTCTCGTAATACAAGGGAATTAACTGCCCAGTTGCAAAGATTATGGCATGATCTTCCGCAAGGGGTCATAGGTGACCTAATTGATTCGATGCCGCGCCGTGTTTCGGCTTGTATAGCTGCCAGAGGTGGCTTTACTACTTACTGATTTGTAATGTTTTTCATGCCATAACTTCTTAATAAAACGATCTTTTGTTCTGAATTTTTAATCATTTTCATATGTCTTACTAGTCTACATTCGTACCGACTTTCGTGATTGTGGCTCGATTTCTTCTGGGTGCATACATTTTTTTGTGACAGAGTGTATTTATAATTACAGTTCAAATTACTTTAACCAAGTAGCCTGTCTCCAAATCGATTCTATAAGTAAGTAAACCCTGAAACGTTGGAGAAATTCCATCAAGTTGGTTTGGAAGAGTTCTATGAAGCGTATTTGGACAAGGATAAATACCCTGCATTTTACAAACATACTCTGTCGATGGTTTCGCTATGTGGAAACACTTATGCGTGTGAACAGCTTTTTAGTCGCATGAAGTACAGGTACAGTACGTCAAATCACAAGTGAGAACACGAATTACTGATGTTCATTTGAAAAACTGTTTGCATGTAGCGACAACATCAGTGGAGATCAATTTTGATGCACTTTGTTCTGTAAAACAAAGTCAGATGTCTCACTTTTAAACATTTTTAAATTGTCTAATAAATATGTTTGATTCTCGGTTATGTTTTATTTTCTTCAAAAAATAAATATACCTGTTTTTTGTGTTTTTTTTCCTTAAACCAGGCAAGTATTTGACCACAATCTCCCCTACTGGGAAGCGACGATGTGGTTGAAGCTGTAACACACTTGCTTGTTTACTTTAATTAAAAAAAAAAAAATAGGTGCGTGGCCCGGCAGGAAATATTATTTCTGAAATTTGGCCCGCCTTCTGAAAAGGTTGGCCACCCCTGCCTTATACTGTACATAAATTATATTCAGCACATTATTAAATTATATTTATTCAAGAAACATCATACATATGTTTTAGTATCTGAAATTCAACTAGTGGTAATATTAGCATCTGAATTTCTGGAATAAAAATACCAAAATTCATTCTCTTAAAAGTAATTGTTATACACAATGATTTGTGTGTTGTCACTGCTATAGAATTGTGATAACTTAAATTTATAGACTAAGCACAATTCATTTTCTATTCAAACAAGAACTAAGAATTGAATCAAAGTGCTAACAAGTTAATAATAATGTTTTGGGGGCCATGTATAATAAGCACTTTGCCACTACTGTGGCAGTAACATTGCCATTGGCATAAAAAAAATTCTGAAATTTGTGCATTCATTGTATATTGTCACTTTGACAGTGTTGTATCTAAAAAATGAAATCATGGACACCTGATTTTTATTACACTTTTAATTTTCTCTTCTCATATTATGCAAAAGGCAAAGTTTAATCAAAACCAAATGATCAAATTTTGTGAACAAACTCAATTCTACAGACTATAGGAGAGGCTTTACGGATACTCTGTTCAATTGTATTTATTTTCATCATTTCTAAAACTTGTTAAAAGTATTTTTTACTTTTTAAATTTAAATATTGTGAATAATTTAGAGTTTTTTACTTTAGATTGACAAGTTTACTTTATACAAACTTCAAAACAGATTTTATTAACTCATATCATCATAGTCTGTGAAATTTAATACCATAATTAACTATATTTTGTATAATTGTTCATCATTTTATATGATAAACAATTATGAGGGTTTAATTAAAATGCCTCAATGTCCTTTTTCTTACTAAAATATTAACTCATAATTACTAATTACATTTTAGTAATTATGAGGGTTGTTTTTTTCAACCTCTACTAATGCATGAAAAAAAATTGGAAGCATGTGAAACAAGGACAGGGTGCACACCTAGTAAGTAATATATTCCCTCATTATTTAGCATTGTTCCAAGCTATTTTAGACATTTGCTACTCTGCACACGTAAACATGATGCTGTCAATCCAGTCTCACGCCAACTGTGAAGTACAAGCGGTAATTCAATTTCTACAGGCCAAAGGGCTGAATGGAGGTGAAATTCATCAAAGTATATGTAAGGTGAGAACCTCATGAGCTATGGATGTGTGTGTGAATGGTACAGGAAATTCAAACAAGGACATGACAACATTCATGATGAGAGCGGTCAAGGGAGGAAGTGTGTGATAAACAACGATTTAGTGGACAGAGTTGATCAATTGGTGCAAGAAAGGTGTCAGTTCACGATTTCTGAGCTCAGTGAGGAATTTCCTCAAATTTCAAGGTCCACACTGTATGTCACTGACTGACAGTGTTAAAGGTTGGCTAAATGGCCTGATGGCAATGTTCTTTGACATTAGTATACAAAAGCTGGTGTTACAGTATGATGTCTGCCTGAATTGACAAGGCAATTATGTGGAAAAATAAAGTGGTTTTGTTCTTCATTTTTTTGTTTTTTTTATGGTTGGTGGATGTTGGAAAAAATAACCCTTGTACCATATACAGAAAAATGTCTTGCTTTTATATCAGCAGAATTAACTTTGCAATTTACTTGGCCATTTAATGGATTTTATATTTCATAATTTAATTTGATGATCATGTTCATATAAGACACTGTTATCATTTTAAAAACTACTTAAAAATACTTACCATCCTTTATTTTAAAAAAAATTATCTTATTCTTATAAAATTTTAGTAAATTAGTAATTTTTTCCTTATATTTTATTAACTTAATAAATGCTTGTTTTTAAGCTTGGACGTTACGGTTGGTTTGGAAAGTACAATTGGAGATGCCAGCCTGTTGATTATTCAGATAATGAAGATGCTGTCATGGTATGCTTCTATCTTTTTGTTGAAATTTTATAACAATTATTTTAAAAATTAATTTTTTAAACTTTTTCCAGATGGTTCACATAGCTTGGTGGTATTATTTATCTAAATACTTGGAATTTATAGATACGGTAAGAAATCACTTATACTATATAATTTAAGTGGTTATAATCACATTTTTCTTAAATATTTTCATTTGAATTTCTAAAATATTACAGTTGATTCTTTCAATATCTAAATATAACTTAAGATACTATTTACAATATTATTAATGAAAGTTAAAATTTATTAAAAATGATGGAAAGTAATCGTTGTCATTTATTCCTTCGTTTTAATACTCTTTCTTTGAAAAAAGATGAAATTAGAGATTGATTTATATGAATAGAATATTATTTAAATATCCATATTATTAATTTAATGAATGAATATAAAATTAACTGATGAATAAAAGAAGAATTTAATTTTTTAAGTTAATTGATTATGTGATAGATGTTGTTATTATATATTTAAGTATTCTTTCCTTCACTTCAAAATTTTAAGTTATGATTATAGCTTTTTCTCTCATAAATGATGATATATTACCTAGATATTCAACAAATATATTTTAAATGTGTAATTTTTTTATTTGCTCTATAAAAATATATACCAAGCAAGACTTGATACTTGATGTAAATAAATTTTAAGAGAAATAATGTGCAATATTTAATTTACAAGTTAGAAGTAAATGTTTTGAATGTTTGATAAATGTTTCCTAAATAACTTTTATGGATATCTTGGCTTAGATTTTCAGAAGCTATAACAATATAAAAATAATTAGAAAATTGCATAAATTTTATATTATAGAACTAAAGAAGATATGAAGAAACGATATATATAATTCAATATTTAAAATGTCAAAAGTTTTAAGCATTTGTAGATTGTATTTGTGTAATTTTTTAGTGTAAAGTAAATAATTTTTAAAGCAATATAAGAAACCTCACTTAATTTTTTCCTAGTAAAATTTCTTTTAATTTTTGATATCAAACCTTATAGTGTATATGTCTTGATACAATGCTTTTTCAGCTGATATTTATATAAGAAAAATTTAATATATTTTTAACAAAACCATATACAGGAAAGGGCTCAAGTTATATTTCAAATACAGCTGGTTAGTATGTTAGAATCATTAGACACTTTTACTTTTCAAAATACGTGAATGTTAAGAATATGAATCTTGAAAATAGCTGGTGCTAGAAGAGGTGTCGAAGTATCATGTGATACAATACATCCTATAGCAGAAAGTACAAGTACCTTAAATCACTTCCAATACTACTGTTTCTATTTATGTTTCTGTGACAGAAAAAGTGTGGTGAGGATATTCATAGAAGTATGTTATATACAAACACACTTCCAAAATTTTTTGACATAATTTAAATAAGTATATTAAGGTACTGTACATCCTATAGCAGCATGTACCTTCCCCCCTTCTTAACAGTCAAATCCACTCTTTGTCGATTACACTTAAGAGTTTCTCCAAATTCTGATTTCTGAATAATAATCTGTTTTCACATGGGAATGGATTAAAATTTATATTAGGCTCTCATGTGATTTGGAATTTCAATTTGGAATTCAATTCATAAGCTTTGCTATTCCTATTGCTATTCATCTTTACTCCTGACTGATGATACACAAGAATGATTCAAATGACCCAGATAGATTAGTTTTGTTTTAAACACCAGAGGGTGAGCATCTGGTAAAAAAATGCAAATACACATTTCACAAAAACTATTGCAAAAACACAAAGAATCATTCATTCATATGTAGGTTTTTGAATCAGTGAAAAATGAATTAAAACCTCATCTTATATGCAAGTAAATACAATATTTAGATTTTATAATTGCAACTTAGCCTACTAATGTGCTCTGAAATATTACATGAAATATTTTCTTATGTTACTACTGATATGTTTAAATTTTAAATATAATGTATTGTTATTGACTAAAACATAAATTAGAAGTAAGAGAATGACTCTCTCTCTCTATTATTTGCTCAGATTTTCCAATTTAATCTGAAGAACACATTCTTGTCAAATATATTCAATATTTTAGTTGTGAAATGCACAAGTTTTATAATTTGTATTGAAGATAATGAAAACAAACTAGGAGAAATGGACATTTACTTGTATTTAACCTTCTGTCAAGTACATTTGATCAGTTTGATACACTAAGCACATTTTGAATTGTCATTCTTTAACAGAAAATTGTAACCTACTTTCCAGTAGTTTTGTTTCTTCTATTCCTATTAATATTTGAAAAACTGAAAATGTATGATAATAAGGAAGAAAGTATTAGGAAACGTGGATTTTTTTTTACCAGTAATTTATATTTCTCCACAGAACAGTATCAATCAATCAATCAATCAATCATTTTATTTNGATCCATTTGGATGGGGATAATTTGAAGCTGGGTCATAATAATAATATTAGTTGTATGAAGTTCAAATTCTGCCACAACAATGATGTAAGTTAAAATGGCACTGCCTGTGTAGTTAACTCTGTTGCATACTTGTAAATGCATTGTTTGTCATTACCTGAAAATGTACCTGTATTGCTTACAGCATATGCAAGCACCAGTAATATAATTCAAGTAACATTGAACAATGTTATCTGAAAATATATTGTGTGTGGTGATCAAATCCAAAGACAATTGTCAGACTTTTCCTCATACTTCACATCATTGCAGTAGAAAAATAGGCTTCTTTCTCAGGATAACTCAACAATCAGTGTGTGACTTCATATTTAAGCCTGTTTCTTTAAATGTGGAATGCCAACACATAATGCTATATACAGGTAGCTCTCGGTTTACGCCGCAGTTCCGTTCCTACAAAAGCCGGCGCAAATTGAATCGGCATAAAATGAACCCATATTTACATTGAGGTATAGGGTTAGGTTCCACATAAGTGAAAAATACACAAATAATTTTGTTTATTAATACAATGTAATACAAAGTACAAATAAATTTAATTTTTAAAATGTATTTTATCATAAAATAAACTTAAATGTTTTTATTAAAAATTTTAGTTTCGGATCTCTAACATTTTTCAGCAAAAGTATCCATCTTTGTTTACATTTTTGTTTTCTTTCATTGAGAATTTCGGAATATGGTCAAATGGATGCGACGATGCTCCTTTTTACATTCGCACTTTGCTCCCAATCATTGTCTAACTCACAAAGTTCAACCATTAAACTTTCCATAATCAAAAGGATACGATAAATTCAATGGCACTATGGATTCGGACGCCATATATTGGACTATTAAGTTTGATAAGTTGACTCGTGGGTACCTAAATGTTTAGTACTTTAATATTAATTTAATGCAAATGTATACATACCCAATAATATTAAACAGAAAAAATAAATATATTCAATAAAAATCTTTGTTTTAAGAATGTACAATGTCGCGGATCGGTAAATACGTCAACACTGAAACGAAAATCAGTCCGGCTTAGGGAAAATCAGGGAATTACACAGCAAAATTGTGAATTCTGCAGCGGCGTTATTGTGAATTGGCGTAAATTGAACCGGCATAAACCAAGGGCTATCTGTGTTTAAGTGCCTTCCAGAAATCATAAACTTGCAAAGTTAAGTAAAAATTAGTAAATGTAATACCATCGGCCATGTTTTATATTTACTATTTTTTATGTAAAATGTATTTTTTGTGAAGATTGCAATAGCACCAGAGGATGTTTTTTTACCATATTTGCATTTTATTTCCTGAGGCAGTAGCCTCAAAAGATAGATTGCCTCCATTCTTGTGAATTTGTGGATTGTCACTGGAGCGAATGACGGAAGCAAAGTATTTTACTTTTGTTAAATGTTGCAATTTTATGTTTATTTATACAATTAAATTGCAAAATTTGTGTATAACAGCTGTTGAATATTCAAACTTTGCATAGTATGTTACACTAATGTAAACTACAAATGAAACTCTTCACTGTTGTGGCAGAACGTGAACTTCATATAACTAATGTATTTATTATGACAATGTTTTCAAATTATCCCAACTTAAATAGATCATTCTAGTTTTATTTGACCACAAGTGAAATCTTGATTTTTCTGCTTTATTTAGGTTGTTTTTTTTATACCCAAATTATAATAATCTGTACTTTTGATGTCTAATTTCATGGAAAATGTTTTATTTTAAATTTAAAATAGTCAATAACAAATTAATTTAAATATAACTGCATACAATATTGATCATTATAATAAATATTTTAAATTATAATTGTAGTTTTTCTTTGTACTGAGGAGAAAATTCAGTCATGTTTCTACTCTTCATGTTATCCATCATGGTGTGATGCCTATGAGTGTGTGGTGGGGAGTCAAATTCACTCCTGGTAAGTTATACTTTGGATGTTCATAAGAATGATACATAATTAACATCTGTTTTCATTATTTCAGGTGGCCATAGCACTTTTTTTGCTTTCATAAATAGTTTTGTTCACATTCTCATGTATATCTATTATGGATTGGCTGCAATGGGACCAAGCATGTACAAGTACTTATGGTGGAAGAAATATATGACTACTGTCCAAATGGTGAGTGATATATTTTATTTATAACAAAATACAACTAAATCAATCTGATAACATTTGATGAATTATTTTCTAAATTTTACTCATGTTTATTAATATAAATTTTAGGTGCAATTTATCATAATCTTCATCCACTCCTTCCAATTATTATTCAATTCCCAATGCAATTATCCACGAGGATTCATGTGGTGGATTGGCTTCCATGCAGTCATGTTCTGGTTTCTTTTTATGGACTTTTACAAAAGTGCTTACCACAAGAAGAGGACCACGTCAAAGAGATTATCCGAAAGTATTGCCAATGGAGTAATGCATGCAAATGAAAAAACCAAAGAATGCGATGGATCCGTCCAGAACGGATTTTATCAAAATGGCATTTGTGTTAATGGAATTCCAAAAAAGCTTGTAAGTAGATGTAATTCTAATAAGAAAGAAGACTGAATTCCAAAATAGAAGCGGGAACATTTCAAATTTCTGTTTACTAAAAATCCACACATTTATAAAACAGACCAAGATAATTGTGGTACTTAATATGTAAAACAATTTTAAAAAACAGGTGCAACATCAGGAAAGAGTGAGATTATATATTTAAAGAGTCCGTGGTTCATTACGGTTATGTAATGATGTTGTCATAATAGTCGTTTTCCGTAGTTTGTTGGTACAAAGTTTCGTTAAGTATCCCCATGGATTTCTCGAGGTGTTGGTGCAAAATGTTTGCCAACTACGTAATTTCTCCATTTTAATTAATTCCTTATATGATTTTTGGCTGGCAAGATATTCATTTCTACGTTCTGTTCGAAGTTGTTCGTTCCCACATCGTTGATATAATTTTCTTAATTTCCTGGTTTTTTTTCGTAAGTCATCAAGTTCTTGTGTCCACCAAGGTACTGCTTTTCGGACGGAGGTTCCCTTTGGTATAAAATTATTACAGGCCTTATTTATAAGTTCGATATTCTCATTTATTTGATCAACGACAATGTTTTTATCGTCTGAGTAATTAGAATTCCAATTCTCTTCTAGACATTCTTTTATCGCAAACCAATCTGCACGTTTTATAATATATTTTGAACTTACGTTATATGGTTGATTACTATTATTGCTACCATTTAATATATCAAAAGAAATCATTGAGTGTTCCGTAAGACTGTCTTCCTCATCTACTTTCCAGTTGTTAATCATAGGATAAAGATCTCCATTACAGACAGCCACGTCTATCCAACTTTCACCTCTATGTGAGGTAAAAGTAGGAGGGGAAAGGGGGTTATTAAGGATATATAAGTTATTCCGCCCAAAAAATTCCTCCAACAAACCACCTCGTTCATCGAATACGTCCCCTCCCCAAGCAGGAGAATGTGCATTAAAATCCCCTGCAATAATAATGCTAGAGCCTGCAAAGGCATTTATAATTTGTTGCAAATTACCTATGAAGTTCTCAGATTCAGCTCCCCCAGGGAAATAGACATTTAAAATTATTATTCTTTTGTTACCAAGCATTAGTTCCATTACTACTATGTGTTGNACATATATATATATATATATTAAAAATAAAGTTAAAAAAGAGAATTAAAAAAAATAATTATCATTTTGGATTACATTTTAGATGAAGGAATTTTGGGTGCTTTCAATGTCTGTGATGCGTTGTCAGATAAGATTGCTCTTTTCATCGAATCTATTAGAGCAACGGGTACTTAAAGAAAAAATTGTACTAAAATGTAACGCATAGATTCTTCAATGTGTAACTTCTAGTTCAAATGTTGATACAGAAACTCATTATCTAGATAGATTTATGTAAGGGGAGGGTTACTGTTTGGCTTCTCTGCTATTTTCTCCCCTGCTAAAGTTGGCTGTACAGTTATAAATCTTAATGAAAAGTTGTTAGTATTTAGATAGCTATCTGAAATGTAGTATTTAATTATAATTATAAAACAAATATTGGATTTTTCTGGAATATTCATACAGGAGGAGGACATTTCCGTTTTGTTTTAGTACATAATATATACATACATATATATATATATACACGAACACACATACATGTTTTTTCTTTTAAAGTATTTTCTTGTTCTATTTGTGAATATTTGTTAGGTTATTCTAATAGTAACAAAATTCCAAATGAACATTATTATTCATATTTGAAGAACTTATTAGTTTATTGGTGCTTTTTTTTTGGTTGCTTGTTATTTTAGCACTGTTTAATGCATTTAACTTTTTATTTTATTACTAGTCATTATTTTTTTGGTGGTGGATTTTTTTTTCTATGGGTACTTGCTCAGTTGACTCAGTTGTAAAAGCAGCGTGCGGGTGATTTTTAAGCATTTCTGTTGTTTATGCAACTTAGATAACAATATTGTTTAATGCCACAGAGATGATATCATTTAGAAGGATATGTTGTTGAGGTCCTGCGTGCAAATCGCACGGACTTATTTTCACTGCACAATTCCAGGTGCCTTGTGATTTAAAAAAAATTTAAACTGTTATATCTGAATGATATGATAATGATACATGTGGCAATAGAGCTGTGGTATAGTTTGAACCATATGTATTGCACTTTCAGATTGTTTAGAACAAAATATTGTTGGAAATAATTTTGAACTAGCTTTGCACTGCCACTATTCAGTGTATAATACAGAAAGGTTTCCATGCTGGGACCAAGCCAATATTAACTATACGAGCGTAGATATTAGCTAGTATGTGCACTGAAAAATGTAACCCAAAACTGAGTATTTTGGAGGGGAAAAAATGCCATGTAGGATTTAACAAAAATCAAAGGGGGAATTTAAAAATAATTTGGCTTAGTTCTTAAGCACATTGTGAAAGGAAGCGTGTGGTTACTATATTCTCATGATATAAACAAGGAGTTAAAATCCAATAAAGATTTGTCACTGTGGAATTTAATTTTTCATTGTTTAAATATAGAATTTGTTGTTTCACTTTTAAAATTAATAAAAAAAATTTTTTGTTCTTTATTATCCTGTTGTTTGGTGTTACAATTAACTGATTAAAGAAAAAAAAGATGGACATTCTTAGAAAAAATTTGAAAATCAATGTGTTTCGAGAAATATTGAAAGGGCACCGCCATTATCTGTTAAAATCGGAAAATTAGGTAGGGAAAAACATCACATTCATCAGAATAGATTAAGAAGCTTGTTCACAGTCATATGAAAGAAGAAAAATTTACTTCTGATTTAAAAGAAAAATGTTAAATGTTAATCAGACTGAAGAATATTTTACAAGATTAAAATATAGATAAGTCCCAGCAACATAAAATGGCATAATGGCTTTCAAGACCGTGTCAATGTCTGCAGACAGATGTTTAGATTGATCAGTTCGATTTTAACAGATACTGTATACATAGTCACAGTTAAATTGTATGCAAGTTGATTATATATATATATATAAACTAATATAAAAGTACAGATTTTTTTTAATTGGACATATTTGTCATAAAGTAATATCTATTAATACTGTAACTTTATAATTCACTGTGTATTCAATGTAATGTCTTGAAAATAAATGTATAAAATATTTAAAGGCAGAAGTGTTGCTTTTTCCCCTCATTTCTTTAGGTTGGAATTTAGTTTGTTGAGCTGTTAATTAATTCATGTTCTATATATATATATTATATACACATAGAATATATACATATTCTATATAATGTATTAATAAAAATTAGGATTAAAGTTGTGTGTTTAGCAACAGTTGTAGGCTGTGTTGAATTTAGTATATATTGAGAGATGAGTTTAGAGGTAATAATTGTTTATAATTTTATCTTTAAATTGAAGCATTTAAACTGCAAATTGATAAATCATTTAATTTTTAGTAATCATTACAGAAATATCTTTTTATAAACAAAAAACAAACTGTTGCATGTGTGAGGTAGCAGAAATTCCTATATTAGAACTAATCTTTAATATTAACATTGTTCAAGAGACTTAACGATTGTTGTTTGTAGCTACCTGAGAAAGTCTCTCGTTACATTTTCTTGAAGGCAACATGATGCTTTCTCGTGAACTATTAACCTCTGCATGGCCGAAATCATCCATGAATATCGCCAGAGATGGCCAAAAAGACTCAGTTGCCGTTTTAGTCCTTGGAGAGGAAAGAAGTCGTTGCCCATTCCTTAGGATAACCTTTATCAACAACTCTTTTTTTTTTTTGTCTTAGTACACAAAATAGAGCCTGGATATTTCAACGGGACATTTTGACTGGGTATTTCACCCTTGGACAAGTCCTGAAAAAGCCTATAAGAACTATTACCTGTTCTCTGATTTGATACATCCCTGATCAGGATATCTATTACCAAAGGTATTTATTACCATGCAAACCTTATGTGAACTCTCTCTCTCTGCGACAAAACTTTAGAACCTCTGTATCTTATCCAATTTATTTTTAATTAAATCCTTGTTAATTGTTAAGTGTAGTTCGAGTCTCTTCCACATGCTGTCTCTCAATCGGCTGACATTACGAATCTGTCTGACCACTTACGGGACTGCTCATGTGACGGTGTGACGTAATAATTGCCGTTTCAGCTTCCATGTTCCGATGAACACGGTGGTGTCAATCCTGACAGGGCACTAAACAGGTGCCAACCCAAAAGGTCACACTGGTGTTAGAGCACAGGATTTTAAGGCAGGACTGTAGTAACTGATACTATCTAGGAAAATGGAAGGGAAAGAAGGTTGCACAGCGCTTGGAGAAACAACAGGAAGTGCTGCGGTAGGCAGACTTGGGGCATGATTCCTCTTGTACCCTCTTTTGCAGGAGATCCAGATGGCCTTAATGTCACGGATTTTTTTGAATCCTTAGATAAGATTGGTAAATTGACAAATTGCACCAAGGCGCAATGCTTAGGAGTGGCGAAATTGCGATTAACAGGGATAGCCCGAGATTTTGCTTGGAAGGATGCTACGATGAAGGATAAAGTCCGAGGCCCTTTGCCAAGAGGCAGGGCTCCCTGCTAAACCCATGGACATATGATTCCACTGATAGTGTCTGTCGGGACACTATCAGTGGATCCACCCCCCTTTGTGGTATGGAAAACGATCCATACCCCTTACCTTTAGTGCAGGAAGCTCTCAGCTTGATGGGACAAGCAAAATATTTTTCCACTATGGATACCCTTTTGGGGTTATGGCAATTAGCCCTAAAGGATAAGGAGAAATCAGCGTTTTCTAGTAACGACGGACACTATCAGTGGAATTGTATACCCATGGGTTTAGCAGGGAGCCCTGCTTTTGACAAAAGGCCGTGGACTTTATCCTTCATGGGTTAAAAGGAAAAACCTGCCTCGTCTATATGGACGATATCTTAACCTTCAGCTCAGACTTTCAGAGTCATTTAACACAGCTAGAGCAAATCTTTCAATGTCTGGCTGCTGCCGGATTAAAATTAAAACCAAAAAAATGCAATTTTTTGCAGACAGATTAAATTTTTGGGATATCAGGTATCAGACGAGGGGATACAACCGGACCCGGATAAAATCAAATGTGTATTAACTTTTCCTAAACCTGTTAGC